GAAGCCCCACCCCCACATCCCATTTTTGCAAAAAAATGGGCCATTTTTTTGCAAAAATGGGATGTGGGGGTGGGGCTTCGGGAGGTCAAAAATGGCTGTATTTGGCGTATAAGACACACCAACATTTCCATGCTCTTTTGGGGAGTGGGAAACATGCGTCTTATACTTCTAAAAATACAGTAAGTCTAAGTGCTATTGCTATTATAAATAAGCACAATGTGTAGACTGATTCCAAGTTAATTCTTACCTTTTTAATCTCAGTGGTTGAAGACTTGGCTGTGCCAAAGTTGAAGGCTAGAAAATCCATAAGTTGACAGTGGTTATAGATAGATATATTTACTTTGCCCTCTCTCTATAAGGTTGCATCATATTTTCCCTCTTTCCATAAGCTACCCTTTGTAATCTTCAAAACCATAAATCACAAGTTTCTGTTAGTCAACAAAAAGTCAATAAGCGGGTTTCCAGTCACTAATAAATGCCATTGTTGAACTTTCTCTATTTAACAGGTTAATTTTGCCATTTCTGTCCTCTTCATCAACCATTCCTCTGGTGTGGGTATTTCAGAATATTTTCCATTTCTGCACATATAATTTCACATATAGTTTCACAGCAGTAATCATGTACAAAAGTAATCTTCCATGGATCTTTTCTAATTGACTGTCCGTTAATGAGTACCAAGAATTTATCTGAAAACTCCCATTACAGTATCTGATTTCCCTGAAGGATCGAAGTACTTTGCAGGTAGAGTTTGAAAATTGGATGCAGGCTTTTGATACATTCCCACTTTTATGGCCATGTATAAGATTCATTTTTTTTCTAAGAGTTATCAAACATGGCATTTGGACAAGAGCCTCTGTTAAGGAGTCCTGATTAGATTGAGATGCAAGCTATAGATCTATACAATTAAGTTTGAGAGATGCTGAAATCTTACTGAACAAATTTAGCTTTATGCAGCATTAGGTGGGACACAGTTGGAATTGTACATCGAGTCTCTTATCACGATAGGATGAAAATAAGAATTCAAGAGAACCTGATAAAAGTGCAGGTAATAGAAAAGTAAAAGTCTCTTTCAAGTCTAGTTCTGCTCCTGATAACTTTGTAGACCGTTCCAAACAGTTTTCTTGGCAATAGAATTAAAGAGCTTTACTACTGCTTTTTCCCAGGATGGTATTCCCCACCCCCACCCCAACTTCCCATCTTCTCTACCGTCTTAAAATTCCTTGTAGTTTTCCATCCAAATATTTCTGCTATGTTAAAACTTCTGAACCTAAATGAGGTCAATCAGATACTGTCACCTCCTAAGAGAAATTTGAGGCATCTGAACACAAGGTTGAAGGGATTTGGCACACTTTTTGACAATAACAATGATGATTATTTCTCATCTGCCCAATAACCAGATCTGTGGAAGATTATTAAAGATATTTAAAACAGTTAAAACAAACAGACAAACTAGAAATGTTAATAAAGGCCATAGGGAGGATACAATAAAAGTGGTTTAAACAGCTCCCTCCCAATACAATACAGACATTAAAAAAACACGCATACAAGTAACCTCACTCCAAAAATTTCTACTGGAAAATAAATGCCTTAGGCAGATACTGAAAATACCATAATATATGCTATTCTTGACTAGTGAAAGAACAAATGAAAAACCTTACTCAAATGATATATTGGTGTTGAGAGAATGGAAATTTTGCCAAGTGAAAGAGAGCAGTTGGCTGATGGAAAATTTACACAGTAAACTTGTAAAATTTCTACCCCTGATAAAAGATTAAGTTGTTTGCCTCCAAGCTGTTATGAAAATATTAACGTATTCACTAAATTAACAAATGACTAAAGGAATATACATATGTGTGTATGTGTGTGTGTGTGTGTGTATTTGTTATATTTATGCTGATAAATAAATAAAGGGAGACTAGTATAGATCTATTTCAAGCTATTTAGCTCTCATCAGCTAGCCATACCCTTGCTGGGAATCGAACCTGTGCTCTATTGCCTCTTAGGCAGATGTGTTAACCATTGAGCTACAGGGCTCGACTCCTTATCAGCCAGGCCAGGGTGAAATGTATATATTTAAAGTCACAACCCCTTGTGGCTGCTTTAATGAGCTGCATTTGCTTGAATCTCTCAACCTATTAAAGTGATTGTGTCTTTTTCAAGCTTACAGAAACTTCGGATATTGTATTCACATGAAACACCTCTTTTAAATCATTTGAAGTATGCACAGATTTACCCGGTACCATGGAACCAAATTGAACGGGGGAAAAAAATCAGGACTGTGCTTTTTATTGATGGTGATTGATCTTAATAACATACGTATTGTCTTTTCATTTTATTTTCTTGGCTCAGGATTGCAAACTTCCCCTTCAAAGCATGCTGGCTATTCAGTCCGGATGGAGAATGCAGTTCCCATAGTCACTCAGGCTGCTGGGGCTCCGCCCCTTCAGATCCAACCAGGGCTTTTAGCACAGGTAAATAATTAATAATTTTGGATCAAGCAACAACTTTAAGGAACTATATACGGAGTTGTCAATAAAGAAGAGTGGTTCACCTGTGGGAGTTATTGTAAATTTTGAGAATGTGTATGCCGTTATTTGACCTTTCCGTCTTTTTATTTGTGAAGGGAAGAGCTTTCTGGGATTTTAAGCTATTAGACAAACCCTCCCTCCATCTCTAGTTTTTTCTTAAGTCATTTGTCCCCAGCCATGCATGACAACGGCTCTTGCAAATATATTTGATTTCCATACTTGTCTTCCATCAAGTAAGAATGCTCTGATTACACATGGCTTTGTCAAACTAGCAAGAACAAAATTGGGCTAGACGATCCATTGAGCTGACTCTATTTCTGGTAGCAACCTAGACTAGAAACTCTTATTTCATAGAGAATTTGCTTAGTAAGCTTCATTAAGAAGTTTAAAATAACAGTACAAGAATTATAGCAATCGCGCTACTTTCAAGTCAGAATTGTTCTGTAAATTAGGGCAGGAAATTTCTGGGGGTTTTTTCCCATGCTTTTTCAGTGCAAAGGAGGAATTTTCTCTTTTTAATGAACACGAGGCAATCTGCGTCAATTGATTCTTTTGAAAATAGGCATTCAACTTCTTATCCATCTGATAAACAGCTCTCAAAACTTCAGGCCACACTCAAAATACTGCTTTTGCAAGCAGATCCTTAGGGATGCTGGTTATCTCATTTATCTGCCTTTTATTTCCAATAAAATTATTTTACACCAGTGCACAAAAGTGAATGTGGTGTTTATGTCAGGATGATCTGGTGTCTTGGATACCAAATACTTTGGTGTATGATCTGGTGTCTTGGATACCAAATACTACCAATACCAAATATTCTCAAATACTGCAAATCACTGCCTTGCCTGGATCTTCTTCCAGTTGCTTTTCTTTTGGGGCTTCCAGGCTCCCCTGTCTTGGAAGTCAAACATAAAACATGTGTTGTTTCTTTCCATTCAACTTAATATGATCTCCTGTCCTTATGAAGGGTCATCGTTAAAGGATACTTGACTGACATGCATGGAGTCCATCTCCGTGAAAACTTGCCATCCTTCTCCAAGAACCACATGTGAAGGAGAACTGTCACATGTATAAATCAAATTCCACGGAAAAAGGGGAGATCATTCACAACACAAAAAAGAAGAAAATAAGTTTTATAAACATCAATATGTAAAATATTTGGACAGAAGTACCTTGTAAAATTAGATTAATTGTCTGGCTCTGTGCATGGGTAATCACACAAATTACACCCAAAACATTTGACAGGCTTCTGAGTTGGCTGCATTACAGTTGGCAATTACAGCAGACAGACTAAAAATACTGAACTGATGCAAAGGCTTAATCACTAACACTTAATCAGATAAAGCAGCAGGGGAGATTGTTCAGGTAGTAATTATAGCATCTGAATCAGGAGTATGCAACGTCTTTAGGGGTCAGAGGTCATGGTTGGCCTTTGAGTGATATATTAGGGGCTGCACTCCCAAGAATTTAATGAGGTCAGAACATTCAGACTCTGGTGTTCTCTCAAGCACCTTTCCCAAAAATTTCGAAAATGCTACCCAGCCCTAATACTATCTTTTTCTGTCAGTTAGATTGATAACTTAAATAGGAATAATTATAAGAGCAAAAAAAAAGGAGGTGTGGAGGCTTTGATTCCTTACAAAGCCAATTAAACTAAGCCCAGCCCTTTTTGAAGCCTGCCATAATCACCACCTGCAGCCTCGGGACTGTGTCAAACTCCAAGAACCGACCCTAGATGTCTGCCAAATTTTCTTTTTGATGTGGCAGAAGAGGTCTATGGAGTACCTCAGTCATTCAGGTCATGATTGTCCCAAAGGTACTTTTTCAGGAGGCAACTGGACTTTCTTATTTTTCTTTGAAGATGTTTTGCTTTTCATCCAAGAAGCTTCTTCAGCTCTAAATGGATGATGGGAAATGGAAGGATTTATATTCCTTGCAGACAGCTGGTCATTTGCATTCTTTTAGATAGTCATGGAGGCCACTTGGGAGTTTATCCTCAGGGTCACCTGAGTAGTACAAATGTGTGTCAAGCCTTCTTGGCTGCAGGATGCCTTCCATTCCCCATCCTACAGGCGGAACTGAAGAAGCTTCTTGGATGAGAAGCAAAATGTCTTCAAAGAAAAACAAGAAAGTCCAGTTGCCTCCTGAAAAAGCAACACCATGACCTGATGGACTGAGAATCTCCATAGACATTTAGCTGTGCACTTTGGGATGAGCACCCTTTGAATGATGTGAGATATGGACAAATTTCCAGAAAAATTGCAGACTACAAGAACCATTTGCTCAGGTGACCCTGAGGATAAACTCCCAAGTGGCCTCCATGACTATCTAAAAGAATGCAAATGACCAGCTGTCTGCAAGGAATATAAATCCTTCCATTTCCCATCATCCATTTAGAGCTGAAGAAGCTTCTTGGATGA